AAGGTCTAAATATCTTGGATGAAACAGGTGACTCAGTCGTGACAGTCACCGCCACTGTCGTCCCATGGATGACTCTGGTAAGTTCCTTATATATTTTTATTCTCAGCTAGCGATACCTTCATGAGGGTACAGGGGCGTACTCTGAAGATCTGACCATCTTGGGACCCTGGACAAGAATAACCAGTGGGCCCCTAGAGGGCCCATTGCTGTGAGCTCTTGTGAGGTGTTGTCCCCGGTCAGGAGATATCTTGTGATAGTACACAAAGCTGATGCTATTGATCTGTCCCTCTAGCGGGAAAATTACCAAGGTTACACCCTTACTCCAAGCTCTTGCCTGTAGTCCAAGCTCGTCCCCTCGTTCCAAGCTACTCTTGACGCTTGAGCCAAAGTACCCCTTAATCCAGTAACACAAGCGAGCGTAGCGACCTCTAGCGCCCCCACGCTATTGTTCTGTAGAACTTTATACTACTAAGTTTATGGATCAAGTTTGTATTTCCACTAATCCCTTATGTCGCTGAGTTCTAGAGGTCATGATTCCGCTGCTACAGCTGACATGGTACCCGATGCAGGATCTACCCCTAGAACTCTATGGGATTTTTATATTTTACTGGTTTTGTGCCGAGTGTTGTATGGGAATCTGTCGTTGATGACTCTCCCTTACGAAATGAGCTCGTTCGGTTGGCTTGTGAAGACTTCTCCTTTGAGCAAGAGGAGGTCGATGGTATATTTGAGAGTGCCATTACTGCTTATGTGCCTCATCGCTCTACCGCTGATGCAGAGGCTGACCGGTTGTATAAGTATATTAATGACTGGTCTCAGTCAGAGAGTATGCCCGGGCTAAGCAATCTACAAAAGCGACTTTTTGACGATTGGTCTATTATTCGAAGTCCTTTTGTTTCTGGTCTTGCTAGTCACTCTCTTGAGCCTCCATTGAGATGTTTGGTATTTGGCCTATTTGTCTCGGATATAATGGATAAGGTGCTTGCTAAGCTGATTGGAGATGAGGAACATGAAGGTCGTGAGCCCATTCGGAGAACGTTCTCTGCAGCACTGATAACTGTGATCCTTCCCGTCGATCTGCTCCCTCCGAATGGTCGTCGGTTGCTCCGTTCTGTAAAACGTCAGATGACGAAGGACCTTCATGAATCTGGTTGGTCACCAGTAGGTGTCTATTGGCGTGATTTTGGTCTAGCTATTAATGAAGGGTATGGAGATGATGACGTTCTCTTAGAGACTCCCCAACCTACTAGAGTTAAGGAGGTTGTGGCATCTAACTCTATTCATAAGCTGGTTGATCAAGAAGTCCCTGTTCGGGCTTTGAAGTTTACTGAAGATGTTGTGGATGAGGTGCCTCGTCCAGCAGTTATGCAGCAGATAGAGGGCGGCCCGAGGTCACCTTGTTTGGATCACATGTTGCATCCGACATCCAGTAAAGCTCCAGTTCGCGATCGTCATAAGTCTAAGTATTATCAGCCGGCTGCTGGGGGTCGTACTGACGATATTCGTGATGCCCGAGCTATCCAGGAACCTGTAAGAGAGGGTGTTGTTTCCCCAAGCGATAGACATAAGGCCATCACTGCTGCTAAAGGTTTATCTCAGATAACTCCTCCCTATAAAGGACAATCTGACTCGAGACGGTTTTCTTGGTTGAAGGCAACCATTCGTAAAGCGCTGCGAGCGGCGACTGCTGATGTTCCTACCCATTGGTATAACTTACGGCGCAGTATTGACATCAACCTCTTCAACCAGATACCCTTACCGCGTTTTGATCCCTCTGATTTGAGCTCTTTCTGTCGGGCAATCAATTCTGTTTGGGAGTATATGGATACAATTTGTGAGGGCAAGTATGCGCTTCAGCAACTTTTAGATGAGAAGCCTGACCTCAAGCAACGTGAAGATGAACATGTTTCTTCTTTTGTGGCAAGATGTGCTCAGTGGTTGCATGAGGCTGAAATCTGCAATCATTTGGTATATACGTATGAGATCCGAATGATAGTGAGTCGAGGCCTTCGCAACACATATCTATCTATATGGAGTGCTGATCTGGGTGAAGATCTATCTTTCATTGAGTTCTGTTGTGAGCAAACTGAGCACTTGATTTTAGGGCGTACGCGGTAGTGTTTGCTCTGTGTGATCGTAGACATTCAAGCTAAGTAAGCTAGAGCTTGTATGTGAAGTGTAGATAAGATTAAGAGTTCTTTTATTGGTTTGTGGTCCTTACTGGTTGGACCATCCTTACGTGAAGTTACTTCACTGAAGTACTATCGTTGCAACCCAAGGCTTGGTGGGTTGATTATTATCTATCCATTAGTATTAATTGGTATTATCGACTGGTTGTGTTAATTTAGTGGGATGAGTGTATCTTCTCGTGACATTGAGAACATTGACGTGGAGGCCCAGAACGGCTCCCAACAGTTCTGTTCCGCCATTGTGCAGAAGGCGGCATCGCTTCGTGCGCTGGGTTTGGCTGATGACTATAAGGGTGGTAAGGCCAAGCTGTTAGCTGCATCTTCCCCTTCTGATCAAAAGTCAAGTCGGCAAGGTCAAGTACAGAAGAAGCGGTTCTCTGGACCCTCTTGGGTTTTTAACATTGGCTCATGTCAGAGGTGTCGTGAAAGAGGTCATTTTGCGAGAGAATGCCCAAAGCCTGAGCCAAGCAAGGTACGAGAGCGATGTGAACGTTGTGGTGCCCTATCTCATGGTAAAGATGACTGTAAGTTCAAGCTGAAGGCTCCGTGTAAACGTTGTGGCGAAGAAGGTCATTCTGAGTTTATTTGCCCTGCTCGTGTTTGTCGCCAACAAAAAGTTGTTGGTACTGAGGGTACTGCTCTCGTAATGAGGTTGAGTCAGGATTACCAACATCAGCGAATACCTCTGCAATCTGACCGTTTAAATCGGTGTTCTACCCCTGCCGAAATCGCTAATCAGATTGATAATATGAGTCAACTTCCCCCTAGTTGCGGTATCCCAGCCTTCTTTGTCGATCTGTATCTTTATGGGCCTCAAGAAGGCTTCAAAGTGAGGGCATTAGTGGATGTTGGTGCTGATGTCGACATTATTAATCATTCGCTGGCTCTACGATTGGACGGCTTGCCTCTCCACCGGCCAGGGCATGATGCCGCATCAATGCGCGAATATCGTTAGGCAATGGCACTGAGGCTTTGGCTCTTATGTATGGAAGAACGGTGGCCACAACGCCGACAAGCACTTTCGAGGTGGCCTATTGGTCCATAGCTGATTTGCCTTATGAATATGTCTTGGGGCGAGAATCAGTTTCTCATTTGAACCCTGATGATTTGGTGCCTACCTCTTCTGGTGATTGTGATGCTGCCTGGGACTCCTTCCTTCGTCTGGCTTGTTCACAATGCGAATCAGCAAGGTCTTGTCGTCAAAAAATGTCTTCAACTCTTGATGACGTTGGTGATATAAGTTCTGATTCTGGTGATCATCTTGATGTTGAAGCCCATGTTTCTATAGATCCTGTTGAGAAGGTTGAATCAGTTCTAGTCAAGGAACTATTGAAACCACCACGATGGGCATCGCTTGATGAAGGTTGGGAGATTGAGGAGGTCGTTGCTTATGAAGAAGAAGCTGCGATATACTATGTCCGGTCAAATATTGGAAAGAGGTTCTATGTTTATGATGTTTCTCCTTCTTATGTTGAAAGGGTATCAAGGGCATCGTTTAAACGAGAAATTCGTTCTCATACCAAGTTTACACGAGCACCTGCTGAGATACGGGTAGCAGCAGCTGATAGTATCAGCCTGATACCTTGCGTGAGATGGTTATTGCTGGTAAGTTGGAGCCTATAATGTCTGATGATAAATTTGGTACTTATTGTAATGGTCTACCACCTGGACTCGTTGCTTGCTCTAATACTTACCCGGTTGGTGGAAATGATTCAGGACGACGTGTTCGACCAATCTTTCCATACTTGGTGCTGAATAAGACGGATGTGAAGGCCTTTAAGTTCCACCAGCAAGAATTGGTGCAGATTCTTACCAAATCCCGTTATTATGCGGTGTGTACTTGGACCAATATTGCTGATGCCTTCATGTCTATTAGGTGTTCACCTCGCGCGCGTAGTTGTTTGGGTTTATATTGCCCGGAAATAGAAACCTGTAAGGGAAAAGTGAGTTATGAGTCACCGCCTCAGGCTATTAAAGCTGGTTTCGTTTTACTCGTACTCCGTATGGCTACTCGCCGTCCCCTTGGGTTTTAGAGCAATGTGCTTAGCATGCTCTACGGAGAGGCTCAGTTGAATTCAAGCTGCCAAGTACCGTTAGCTACCAGCCAACTATTCCCGTCAACGATTTTATGGACGAGCCGACCACTGAGATGGTTTCTTGTGAGAGGCCGCAAGGTGCTAGCCCGGAGCTGCTGAACTATATGGATGACTGTCTGGCCATGTTTGGTTTAACCGTAATTCTATTGCCTAGTGTGCTTGGTGAGCTGTGTTCGGCTATGGTTGAGTATGTGAGGTTGATTCTGCTGGATGCTGACTTGCATTTGAAGGATCCCAAGACCATTACCTTTGAGAATAAAAATTTTACGGTTAATGGTGTTTATTATCACTCTCCGTATGTTATTGGTTGGCCACCTGAACGTCTTCGTGCTGTGAAGGATGTGATTTTATCGGCACCGGTGTCCTATCGTCAGGCCTTGGAGTTTCTTGGTATTCTTCATGTTGTGGCATGTTGGCTACTCCCACCATGGATTATACTTCGCAAAAACTGTTTGCAGAGCTTGTTACAACAGAGACTGCATGAAGATAATGCGGAGTGGGATGATGCTATTGACGACGATTGCTATCCCCTATTGGATGAGTTCATGAGTTCACTCCAATTACCGCAGTTGGCGCAATATAATGTGTTTCGTCGAATTATTTGTTGGGCTCCACTGCACATCTATTGTGATGCTTCTTCGTATGCATATGGTTATGTGGTTGGGCAATATTATGAGGAGATTTCGGCTAATCTGAATGAGCGGCAAAAGGAAAAATTGAGTGCTGAATTGGCTACTATTCATGGTGATCTTGCCCCGCGTCAAGATGATACAGGGCGATTATTCATTCCACTATGGTTTCGCCAAGCCCTGTTTTCCCGTGTTGGCCAGCTCACTGCTCATATCAACACCAAAGAAGTCTTGGCTGCGACTTCTGCTATTGTTGGTGTGATATGGACTGTTGGTAACGTACATCAAGCTCGCTTGGAGATCTACACCGACAAAGCCACTTGTCTGAAGGTTTTGCGTATGTGGAAACCAGCTCCACCAGGTGATAGTGTTGTTGATGTTGCGCAGTCTATCATGCAAGAAAGGCTTCTTCAAGCAGTATCTTCATGTGTGCCCGAGCAACATTTGCGAGCTCTCCGGGTTCATTTCGTCCCCGGGACCAGTAACCCCGCGGATAGCTTAACCCGTGACGCATTCTCAGAAAAAATTATCATGTTGATGCCTCCAAAAAAGTCTATTCGTCAACATCAACAACAACAAGTTCGTCAGATGTTAGTCCCAAGTTTTTTAAAGCTCTCATCAAGCCCACCTCAACCTCCTGATGTTTTGACTGCTCATCCCGGTATTCTGGGGAGAAGCTTGATTGCTGCTCGGTTGTCAAGCCTATGGAAGCTGGCCCGTATCTTACGTGCTTGGCACTTAGCTTCTCGAAAGAAGGGTGAAGAAGATGTGAGGCTCTCGGATGTCAATATTCGTCTAGGATTCCAGCAGTGGTTATGTGAGAAGCAAGGTCCTCTGCAGATCGACCAAAATGATAACCGCTTCTTGAAGATTGGTCTTTTATGGTATCAGATTACATTATTCTCACCAGCTGGAGATCTCATCCCGCAACTAGTATTCCCTAGTTTAAAAGATGAAGAGGGTATCCTAGCCAATTTGGTATGGTACCTCCACCACTCTACAGCCCATGCCTGCCCTGCCATAGTGTTGGGCCTGCTTAGGAACTACTGTGTTTGGCAAATACAACGGCGCTTCGTCCAAGACCTTTTGCGTAGCTGCGATTATTGTCAACGGGTTGCAAGAGATAGGATTCGTGATTACTGTGGTGTCCGGCAAATCCACACTATCCCGTGGTATCGAGTTGGTTTGGATGTATACGGCCCCGTTTATAAGGCAGCTCGTTATGATAAGCAAGGCAGAGCGCCCTATAACTACGTTTTGAGCTATACTTGTTATTATACCAATAAGACTATTCTCCGCCCTCTACATCATTGTTCGGGGAGTGAGATTGCTATGGTGCATAAACAGGTGGTTGCTGACTTTGGTCGCATGCCTTATCTCTCGGTCGACTGCGGTTCGGAGTTTATGAACCAAGATTTCCTCAGTGTGACTGTTGAAGAAGGTATTGAAGTCCGTTATGATTCTCCTAATTCTCCATGGAGCCGTGCCCCAGTTGAAAGAAGGCACTCTGTGATATCCAAGTTATTGAGGGTCTTGGCAATATCGGGTCGATCTAGTGAGTGGCATCACCACCTTGATGAGGCTACCATGGCTATCAACAGCTCCTCGCTACTACGTGGAGAGCCGCTGCTTACTCCTGACATGCTCTTTTTTTCATATCGTCCCTGTTCGTCTCTTTCTTTATGGTTTTCTCCATTTAATGATGGTGCTAAATCTACCAACCTACAAGAGCAGTTGAAGTTACGGCTCATTTATGATGCACAATGGATGAAGAACCGAGAAACTGACCGGCTTGAGGTTGATAAGAGAGGGCATGTGCCGAGGCTGCGCTCCGAAGTTGGTGACGAAGTCCTGGTTTGGGTTGATTCTACCGGTGACAAATTCAAGTATTCGTGGCGTGGACCCTACACTGTAATGGACTATACTGATAAAGGTCAAGTTGTCCTTGAAGGATTGAAGCGTCCTCAAGCTATATCTAATGTGAAGGTTTATTACAGAAACACTACTATTGATGGCAGCTTGACTAATCATATGGGTGATGCCCCCTCTAAGGAGCTTCGTAGACTCGATGGTGTTACTCAGAACGATTTTTTGATGAATAATGGTTCGTTGTATCAGGTTGTTTCAGTCAACTATAATGAAGCTATCATAAAAGCGGTAAAAGTGACTATTGAAGATTCAGTTTTAATTTATAGTGATGAAGTCTGTGAATTTGATATTATATGTAATGATACTCTTCTAGTCCCAGGAATTAGAGTGACTAATGGGGCTGTGAGTCTTTCGAGGATGGCTCGACGGATGTTGAATGATTCCGTATTGCACTAGTGCAACTTGGTTTACTTTCATTCTCTTACAGAGCTTGAAGAGGGGGGCATGTGAGGTGTTGTCCCCGTTCAGGAGATATCTTGTGATAGTACACAAAGCTGATGCTATTGATCTGTCCCTCTAGCGCCCCCACGCTATTGTTCTGTAGAACTTTATACTACTAAGTTTATGGATCAAGTTTGTATTTCCACTAATCCCTTATGTCGCTGAGTTCTAGAGGTCATGATTCCGCTGCTACAGCTGACACTCTGTGAATCACATCCTCCACTGAAGGATTTGGATAGGACCACTCCTGTTCTTGGTCACCCCATAGAGGGACAAGACGGTGTTACCAATCTTTCTGGGTTCCATGCCAAGCACATCCGATCTCGTAAATCGGGTGTGCTTGGCATGGGCCCCATGCCATGGGGTCCCCAAGCCCTTCCGGGCCCCCTGTTCGGCCAACCAAAATCATTAGACTACTCTTACTGAGGGTGCCTGGAGATGCCTGGGTGGTATTGATCACGGCCCTGATGGGGATCAACTGGGAGATCCTTGGACCTCTCTGGCTAGAGAAAGGTACCACATTCCCCAAGTTCTAGTCTCGCTTTGAGAGCTTGCCCCGTGAGCTGGCAAGATCATGCAATGATCTCCGAACAAGAATTAAGCTGTCATATGCTGTCGCTGTACTCTTCACCGTCCGCCTGCTGTACTACAACCGGTACTGGAATTGTGTAACATCGCCGTCGATCACTCTAGCACTCCATCCCATCCTGATCTGCATGATATGGATATCTCACCCGAGGACCTACTTCAAAACTCAATCAATGCGGCCCAAAGCTGAAGAGTCTACCTCGGTTGCTGCTCCTTCCAACGACTCGTTGGAAGATTACTGTCGTGGCAAAGGTCTCCTGAGGAAGTCTGAGGAAGTCCCGATGAAGACTTTCTCATTGACAACGAGAAAGATCTTTGCCGAAACAGTGACCGCAACCCTGAGCTCACTTGGGGATTGCTACCTTCGTCTGGCGACGTTTCTCACGGACGGTTGAACCGTCACGGTTCAAGCTTCACGTTCCGTGGAAGAGTTCTGAGTGACCTACGTCCTCAACTAAGGATCAAAACCTTCGTCGAGCCATGAAAGCTGGATCAGGAGCGTGCATCAGAGGTAACGATGCTCGTTTATCCGCTAAGCAAAGAGCTATCGACTGAAGCCGGTCCCTTGTACGTATTGAGGAGCGTTACTGGTGTTTACGGACCTCATGGTTCATACCTAAAAAAGAGCTGTATAGTCTATGGCGGTCAGTTCACCTATGTGGAGATGTTCTAAAGTATGTTGATAACGTCGGAATACCAATATCCTCTATCGACTCGGCAATTACTCTATGGCGTTTGAAGCGTCCAAAGTTGGATGTCATCCAATGGATAATGATCTATGGCGCGTGAAGAAAAAATGCGTTAAGGATACAAGATAAGTCTGCTCGAAGTTATTCGGCGAAGGTTTAGGAGGTAAGGTGGTGCATATGAGGTCTGCCAACAATCTGGCAGATGCGGCTACCCGGATGAAGATCGATTCTACTACTGTGGTCTTGGCTGAAGTAGCACGTAAATGGGCGTTAAGGCCATCGTTCGTTATCTTTGTGCCGATGTATGCAACTCAATACGGCCTTGTTACAGATAGCAAGACTTGATTATACACCAATAACTTATGAGTAACGAATGGGATGGTATAGCTTAGCTAATATCTTAGCTGATACAAACGGGGACAACGGAGACACAGATGTGCATACCGCAACAGTCTCAACTGACAACAGTTAACGTAATATGTTCCCATATCAGCACACTCCCCCAAGTTGCCAGTAAATGGCAACTTGTATACTAACAGTCACTTTTTACGAGCAACTTTGTTAGACTTCAACATATCTGAGACTCTGTCGACTGCTCTCTTGCGGCTTCGTGTCATGACTCCAGCACCGTCATTCATAACAGCCTCTTGCCATATCTTCAACTCTTCTCGGCTCACTGGAGGTTCGTCCTCATGCACTTCGGGCTCAACCTCAGCTTGCACACCCTTTTCCAGGAAGGTGGGAGAAGTAGGACCCTTATCAGTCTTAATAGGTCTTCGTCCTTTCTTCAACTGGTTTACAGGGCATTGCACGGTCACATCGTCATCTGCCTTCTTCAAATTTATAGTTGCTCCATCACGGTCAACAACCTCATAGGGACCAGAAAATAAGGTACCATATTTTTCAGCAGTTGGGTTACGACGCCAGACAGTATCGCCAATTGTTATAGAGTCTTGGTCAGTACGTCGGATCTTGGCCAGTCGTCTTCTAGTTTCGCCCTTCCGGCGGATCCACAATGACTTCAGCTTTGATAAAGTACGGATATTGTCGTTGAGGTAAGCCTCCTTCAAGGAACCAAGTGGTTCAATTAAATCATCATACAGCAGTCCCGATCCTAGCCATTTCTTAATTTCAGCGATAGCAGATTGGTCACGTGTCAACAGTGTGGCCGTCAGACCACCAGTTGGTCTCATGCATAGCCATGGACATAAGTCATTGTCAGCTTCATAGGGGATGTTGTTCACGACATAGGTAGCCTTGCTCACCAAACACTTCAGGTCCCTGACATCCTCAATAGATCGACCACGATCATTAGTCATACACCTTATAACTGATGAAAACTCAGCATGTGGACGCTCAAGCCAACCTCGTCGTGCCGCATCGAACCCAAACGTGTATACATGGACAACATTGTGCTCGGCAAGGAGCTGCTTAAACCTTATAGACATAAAGCAGCTTCCTTGATCAGTTGCTATTACACGAGGCCACCCATTGGCATTCAGTAATTCTATAGTCGCACAGGCCACATCCTCAGTGCCTGGAGAGTCGATAACCGTAGCAGCTACAAACTTGCTAATGTAGCATACCAATAGAAGGACCCAATGTTTAACACCGTCAGCATCTTTGATGGGTCCTGCTAGATCAGCACCAATGACACCCCATAAGAGAGGCACCCATGATTTAGATGTTGATATAGCTTTAGTGAGGGTACGGCCATACTTGGCTTGACAACAGACGCTACAGGAAGAAATCCAATGTTTTACTCTCCTATGAAGTCCCTTAAAGTCACAGACTCCACGTAACAAGCCGACCGTCTTGGTGATACCGGGGTGACCAAAATCTCGATGAAACCTGTCAATCACCTCATCCTTCAGCTTGTCGTCATCCGGAATGTATACCACCCAAGTGTCGTCTTCATCTGAATTCCATCGTCTGCTCATCAAAGTACCATTTTCATCATCAAGATGGAAGAACTTAGACTGAGAACAGGACGGGTCAGATCGTAGCTTGGACATAATAGATACACAATTAGGATCGGCGGATTGAGACACCTTAACACGTGGCAAGAACTGCTCTATCCAGGAAGCGGTTGTGTCTTGAGTAGCAACACAGCAAGACATCTCATTGATCACAAGGGCTTCTTCAATGTCATCCTCATCGGACAAATCCTCTTGCTTGTCGTCGGTACCCAAGGAACCATCGTTGAGGTTAAAGTCCACGAGGCAGTCATCTGTTAAGGCACTGCACACAGCTTCCCATGAACACTGGACTGGCTCACAATTCCCACAGGGCCGAGTAAGACGATCCGCTAGATTGTCACCGGAGCGAATGTGTCTGAATTCAATCTCAGGCACTACCTCTTGGAGCTTGATCTTGTTCAACATGGCCCTTATGTGATTCAGCCTCCTCTTCTCCGGAGATGGAAGCTTCTCAATTTTGCTACTCTGTGGATGGCAAATCACCAAGCGTAACCGATATAGGGTGATGCTGCTATCATTGACGATGGTAACATGCTTCACTCTGGAAGTGAATGTAGATAGGATGGTTGAAACAGCTTGTACACCCATACGCAGAGACTCCAATTCACGTCGGGGGATGGAACCACCAGGGTGAGTTGATATTCTCGAGAGTAATCGTCGCCCATTAGCACGTGAACGGACATCGACAGCCATAGCGAACTCACTAGCATCGACAAACACCACCAGACCTTCTATAGGAATGTATCGAGGAGGCACCATCCTCGTGGAGCAAGTGAAGTACTTCTCACACTGTTGTAAACACTCTTGAGAACGGAGCAGATAATCACCGGTGATAGCATCATTTTTCACTAGTCCGTGATGTACCTCACCAAAACCAGCATTGTGTAGTTGTCGTAGTAAGGCCTTTATCTCCAAACTGGCCTCCGCCACCAGACCCAAAGGGTCGAAAAGCCTCGCTGTAATGGATCGTAGGGACGACATTCGGACTTCCCTAGGCAGACGAAAGTTTGGTAGTTTAATGTCCACATTATCACAGTTGGGACCAATAAACCATCGATAGCCGAGCCACGAGGCCATTTGTAAACCATCCATACCAGTAACATCACTGACAGTAACATCTTGGCCAATAGAAGAACGTGCTGTTTCCAGATTATGGAAACGTTTCCTCTCGTTGATGTCAAAGCCTCTTCGTTTAAGAGCTTGTACAACAGAGATGCGGGAAGCTTCAACCTCAGAGATAGAAGATGCTCCTATAAGCACGTCATCGACATAATAACCAACACCATCCCGTATCTTTGCAGGCAGGGAGGAGAAAATTTTCTCCAAGCTGCTGCCCAATGCCCATGGTGACCAATTAGTTCCAAACGGTACTCGAGAAAACTTAACCAAATGACCAGCCACTACCAGTGCGAGGTAATCGGTGTCCTCGTCATCGACCTTTCCTCCGCGAACCAGGACTTGCCAGAACGCTTTAGAAAGATCGTCACATGATGCTCTCTCAAAGCTTCTCCACAACATAAGCGTGCCAAATAAGTCCATAGACGTACTGCCCGTGCCATCACCAGTGGTAGTAGTATAAGTATTAAGTGGTCTGGCATCCAAACAGAGTCGGCATTTGGTGCTTGTCCGGTTGAGATTAAACACTGGAACCACAGCCGTATAGAACTTAGCGAAGTCGTGCGGAGACTGATCAGGAGGTTTTTCAATAACAACGCCTGATTCCAATAGTTCATGTACAGCAATTAAATACGCCTCATATTTCACAGGTTCATCCTTCAAACGAGTCAACACCTTGCGATCTCTGGCCCACACGTCCTTGAAGTTATACCGTGGTCTCGCAGAGCTTTTCCATGGGATAGAAACAGACAAGCGATCTGCTGCAACTTCAGCGTGGTTGCACTGGATAGCGAGACTGTTATCCTGAAGCCATCGATCGGGTATACACGAATCATCATCAAATATGCCCATAGGACGGAATATTATACGGTCTGGGCAGTGAGACTCGGCCGATACCACCCAGGTGCATGGACCCAGAAGACTTTTCGGTACGATGACATCATATTTGCTATGTTCAATGACATAGCAATCACACTGTCGGACTTGATGACTAGCTAGGTGAATCTTAACACCAATCACCTTGTCAACAATCGCACACGACGTACCATTTATCATAGTCAACATGCTTGAAGTAGCAGTAGTAGTGGTACTGAGCTCAGGGATACTCTCTTTCATACTGTTGAAAACCCTTCTTGTAATAAAGACGTCGGTGGCACCAGAGTCCAGTAAAGCATAATATCGATGTTCATCACCTTCGAACCATACCGGTATCAGAGGCAAGCCATTGGAAGCCTTTTCCAAAACTTGGACATCCGATGATCCTTCATTGCACTCTACCATTGATACCATACAGGCTGAGTGGTCCTGAAATGAGTCACTGACAGTGGCTGTTGGCACAGGTTGATCACAGCTGCCATCATGAAACTCAGCAATAAGACAATCAGGGCTCTCACCTTCTTCTTCTTCACAAGATTGACTTCCTCCTTGAAAGAAAACTTCATCATACGGCACCTGCACAGCGTTACCCTCCGTTGTAGGAGCAGCAGTAGTTGTAGGATTAATAGTAGCATCTTGGGATTCGAACTTGTCAAAACGAGCCCTTATTCTTTTGCCACCAATATCAGCACCATTAGAAGCTTCAATGAATGCTTGCGCTGGTTTATGTTCATTGAACTTCACTGTGACAAAACCCCTACGGGGTAAAAGTCTCACATACACATCAGTATCATGCCCTAACAGTCGAGACACAAAATCTTTTACATCCTGATAATTCCAAGCTAGCGGAACACCAGAGAGGAAAACCCGTTTAGCATCTGGACTCGTGGAGAACTCGATGACATTAGCTTCCTTGTCAGTCTTCTTCTTGTCCTTCTTACTAGGAGTAGCACTCTTGACCTTAGCAGAGGACGCACCACGAGTCGTGGAAATAGTAGGATTACTTATCGCTGTAGTGGGAGTTCCGACCAACGAAGCACCATAACGAACTCGTAGCTGAGCCCACCTTCTAGTCTCAGAAATCATACTCTCCATAGTTGATACAGAAGTCATCGGCATCCTATCGAGATAGAGACGAGCTTCAGTTGGCAAACCTGAGTATAGCCGAGCTCGTAACTCACTGTCTGTAAGAGGACATTCGCGAACTTCACCGATCTGGTCTTTCATGGTCTGAATGGCGGCGATGTAAACTTCCAAAGTAGTAGGGCCATCACACTTCAGATTCTCCCATTTCCGGTGGAGCTCCATTTCGCTACCGAGATCACTATATAGTCGTAAAACTCGCCATGCAGTAACAACCCGTTGACTGAACAAAGTGTTCCCCTTCACATGGCATTGCTCATTAATCAGTTGTTGTAGAGGAGTAGATACATTATTGATGATATAGAAGTATTGGTAAGCACTTGACAGCTCCCCCGTGCCAGAAAATTGGATCTCTGGCTGATTCATAATAGTCTTCTTGAAAATCATGTAACCCCTCTTATCAGTCACACCAGAGAATCGGCCTCCCTCTATAACACCAGCAGACTTAGCTTGTTTGCTAATCTTCATGATAACCAAAGGCTCTATCACCAACGACGATTTGGCACTTCGGTCAGATTTAGTGCTATCGAGCTGTTGTTTGACCTCCTCAACAATACCATGCACTGTATTAGTAGGACCATCCTTGCTGTCATCGCCAGTAGCACCAGTAGTACCATTTGCATCATGTCTGGTCTTGTGATCAGCGTTGGACTCAAGCTGTGACTTAATACCTGCAATCGACTCCGTCAACGAATCTAGCTCCTTCTTCAGCTGCCAAGCCCACACAGGTGGGGATTGCTCAGTACTGCTCTTCTTATTGTCATCAGTCAGTACTGGGTCAGACGCCTTGGGAGATACCATAGAGCAATTGAACCGTTACTTGTTGAACAGAGTGGTCTTTACACAAGAGCTTGAGGTAGTTGCTTCTCGGATGATTGTGCCGATGTATGCAACTCAATACGGCCTTGTTACAGATAGCAAGACTTGATTATACACCAATAACTTATGAGTAACGAATGGGATGGTATAGCTTAGCTAATATCTTAGCTGATACAAACGGGGACAACGGAGACACAGATGTGCATACCGCAACAGTCTCAACTGACAACAGTTAACGTAATATGTTCCCATATCAGCACATCTTCGACCCAGCTGTATCGGCACTACCTTCTAAAAATGCATCGATGATTCATCTGGCCTACAGTGTATGACCATTATCACCGACTTCACTAATGGTAGTGAGCCCTCTACACTACAGCCGGACATATCTGAGTCTGATCGGCATGTTGATTGGGCAGAGCTTGCCCGAACAAACCAGAATTCATCGTTTTTCCTTACCGCTCTTCGAGAGCTTCTACTCCATGGGAAGGCGACCGATGGTTGTTCTATTCCGCGTCGAGTTCTCAACAATGCTTCCAAGTTCCATACGGTCGAGGATGGTATATCATATCGGTGTATAAGATCAACTTCAGAAGGTCAACCTCTACACCAAGTGGTATTGGACCCCGAAGTCGATGATGAAGCGATGATTAGCCGTTTGATTTACCACAATTATTGTGGCACAATATTACTACTCATCTGGGGGATGAAGCCCTACAATTGAAAGGTGAAGGTGCAAGAATGGCCATCACGGTTGTGTGAAAAGCAAACCAGTAGTCGTTCTGTTCTTTCATTTGAGTCTCTGAGAAAAGTGTCATGGTAGTATTATTATCATTACCATCTTGGCTCAAGAGCTTTTCCGTCCCTCTGGTATTTGCCATCAGTTCATACAATCTGGTACCTGCAATCGTCCAAGACCGTAGGATTTCTACAGATGAAGTCCACTATAACTGGTCAAGTGCTAAGGTTGGATCATGTGGTGAACTTACCTACGGGTGACGGTAATTTCCATCACGTGTTGAGCCTTGTCTGTGCAGCTACAGGCTTCACTTTGTTTCGAGCTACAAAAACTACCAGGTCTATCGAGACTACAAAAATCCTAGATAGCATCTTTAGTGATGCATCTTTCCCTATCTGTCTCGTGGTGGATGGCGAATTTAATTCGACTCATTTCCAAGAGTGGTGTACTACTTGCCACATAATGGTTGCGACCCTTCCTCCGCATCATCGGAGCTATGTTGGTGGGTTGGAACGTTGCCATCTACATCTGAGACAATATTTCGCTACTAAGCACGCGTCTGGTGAGGAGATGAAAGAATGGCCATCATGGTTAGGTGATCTGCAGTTGGTTCATAATCTTACAGTCTTTCCTGGTTTGGGCTTTGGTCCTGCTGATCTGTTCTATGGCCGTCGGTTGATGAGACCTGCGAAATTGGTTTATTACAAGCAGAAGAGGTTATTCCAAGCAGGGACTGCGAGAGCCATGCACAGCTTGTTATTCTAAGCAGCGCGGTATGCTTGGGATTACAAGTAACTATTGTAACTTGCTTCGCCGGTGATATAAAATCTGTTACATACTGCGTCAACTTCATGTTTTCGTTGTCAAATGGAGCACCAGGTATATCACTCAATCAACTCGGAGCTGAACAGTACCCGCATATATCATGAAACATTTTTTACATTCATTTCGCAACGGGATCTCTTAGGAATGGCAGTTGACATGAAACAGTATTGATATCCGTTATCACAGTATTGAGGGGTACACTAATACCCAGGTCACAAGCTGCAGACTTTGGGGTCCAATTCATACATATCACCAGTGATCAGCCACGGGCCAGATTAAACCTGAGAGCTTCCTTGAGGTGTAAAGAATACTCATTCTACAGATGATTCCTCCTGTACTCCTTACTTTGCTCTTCGGACGAACAAGGACTTATGTTCCCTTCATTTTGCCAAGCGACGCTCGGAATAGATTCATTCCGGAATTGCATCGACGAGCAGCTTGCGCTCACCGAGGTTGCTTCATCACTGTTTGCTTCGTCGTCTGTCGGCATTGCGGTATCAAACCCTGTGTCACCTTCTTGCCAGTCACCATCGTCTATATCATTTGGGAGGCCTGAGTCATCAACCTATGGTGTGTAAGCACTGCTACCAACGATCGTATTTTATACTGCGCCGAGCTCGTAACATCCCGATTCTCCTGACGAATTGCTATCTTGTAATAGAGATTCCCCATCGTTGACCGAGGCAGTTGCAGTTCTACCACTCCAGTGGGAACTACCTTCGAGGGATGCTATCGAGCGCACTCGTCCTAAAAACAGAGCATTTTATGCCCCACATGGCCGGCAATCCCCTGCAAAAGTTCACCATGCCTGGCATGCATGACAAGATAGAAAAGTTTGAGAAACAATCTTGTTGACATAATCACTGCTATCTTTCCCATAGGGAGTCCACATTCAATAGATATGTAATCATTAAGACATGATGTGCTCACGTCTCTCTCCAATGCTAGATTCCGAGTCTCTGCCATCACTGTCGCCTGCATAAGTCTCCTGTCTTATCTGGTCCCGGTGAACAGAGACAGGAACTGCATGACGGTCATTAACAATGCGAGTTGCGTTATCCTCATGTCACCTGCACGCGGCGCCGAAGCAGCGGAATGATACCGACCTAGAGCACCGACCCGTCGCCTTGTTGGGCGGCCTCTACGGACAGTGGGAAGTCCCCGATTCTCTGGATGATATCTGATGTGAACGGCAAGTGTTAGGCAGGCGTAAAGTCGCAAACTTACGGGTCCTGCGTGCCCCTGAGCACTTCCACTGCGTACCCATGAGAGCATGTCCCCCAGTCACGCCAGCTTTTACAGGTACACGACACTATTGCGGACTCACCGCTAAGTCGATGATCACCAAGGGGAGCTTCGAGGGTGATCAGGTTGAAGCTGAAGTACGTTCGCATCAAGAATTCTAGTGTAGGGGCATCATCTGAAGAACAACATACATCACCTTCACGGGGATTAATGGGGTTAGTTCGGGGTTCAGCGTCTTTGTGTTAAACACATGAGTATCGTTCCCGGAGACAAGGTGTTCGAGTGGTCTAACTTCATCGATCGAGGAAGCCGTCAGAAGTACTTAGTCGTCAGTCTGGAGGACGACTGGTATGCGGACGGAGAAGATCCGCATCTATATCGTCTACGAGGAGAACGTGACGGAACGGAGGTGTTGGTTGATGGAGAAGAAGACCTCTGTCCATTAAGTGGAGAAAAACGGATACTTTGCGGACGAGCTGAATGCTGGATGAGCTTCAAGGACAGAGTGACAAATGAGGAATGCTTAAAGCACCTCCTGAAAGTGAATGGGAGTTGGGTAATTGTTTAGCTCTTACTTAACTGTCTCCCACGTTCTCGAGTCCATGTGACGTTTGTTGCGCTGTTACCAGATAGGTCGTTTCGGGACGCAACGACTAGTAATGGGGGAATGTGACGGTCAGCTAGTCTCATACCTTATTATGCATCGTTGTTATCCTGGTAACAGACCTATACTGGAATTGCTCTCTTAACGATAGTAAATTGCTAGGGTTAGGTACCATACCTGTGGGTAATGTGGATAACCACCTGTATGGGATGCACTTAAGGTGTGTCTGGCGCCGTTAGCCACTGATGAGTCCCTGTGGTGGGGACGAAACACTACCTTTGGAGAGGAGTAGATTTGAGGTAACAGACCTGAATGTCCAACCGATCTCCCTAGATCGGCAGGGCTTACAGGGCTTGCTTGATTTAACAATGACTGCTTGGATTAGCCCTGCCACGCATGAGACCTTGGCGTACTACATCATCCTCAACTGAGACAAATAAAGACGTGTTGCAAGGTGTTCGTCAATTATTCTGTCCTGAAGAAGAGTCCTTTCTTGAAGACTTATAAAGATGCCGATGTGAGGAAACTCGTTTACGCTTCGAGAAGTATAAGAGATTTTGGGAGGATGTGAAGGAAGTACAACAAACATGGTTGAGTCGAAGAGTGAACAATCATTCTCTGAGGTCTCCTGAGTTTCCTGTCGGTAGGAAATGTCTCGTCTATTGTCCGGAGGCGAATCAGTCTAAGCATTCTCTGAAGTTCGCTGGTCCTTTCGAGATCGAAGAGGTGGTTTCTGATTCACTCCGTAAGATTAAGTCCTCTGGTCAAGGTGAACATGGTAGCAAGAATATATCGCCGTTACAAAGTGTTCACAACCTCTCCCCCTACTACACTCGTGATGATGACGAGGTCAATGTTGGGTACAGTGTGATCTGTGTCAGAGGTGGATTCCTGTTACACCGTCTCTTTAAGGTAGATTTTCTGCTGTAACTACTCGTTTCAGCTGTCGTCTAGCTGGTCTTACTTGTCGTGTGGCAATGTCGCCAAACGGCGAGCGCAGAAGTGATGAGCACGCAAGTGCATAGCGAAGTTTGCTAAGGAAAAAGCAAGACTGTCTTGCCATCCTTAAGCTTCTTCATCGCCGGGTCACGAGGCCTCTTCCATTTCACATGTCCTTGATAGATGATCAGTCGGGCCAATTCTTTTCTTGTTTCGCGACTGGGTTTCTTTTCTTTTGCGTCACCGCCAGCATGGGTTTGCAGACTTCTCGCAGTCTTGTCCGCGAACTCGGCTGTGAGACCAATAACGACATTGTCCTGCGGGTCATTGATATCAAAGAGGTCAACAATGGCTGTCACTTGCTTCTCTTTATCAGCTGTATTGCGTTTGCCGTGGAAGCAGTAGTACCTGTTTTCCGGGCGCTCATCCGGTGTACAACCCGGCGGATATGAGGAGCTACCATCAGCCGAAACTGCTGCTAGCTGAGGACCTTCATGGTATGAGGCAATACGCTCCTCATCTTGCTTGATGAACTCGACCTCCAGCTCCTTCAGTAGGTTGATGAGCTCCGGTGTTAACTCTAGGTTCTGGATGCTACCGAAAAGGGGCTTCTCATCACCAGTTGAACGGCCGACCACGATGCCTTCAGCAAGCGAGATGAAGGCTATCGTAGCTACAGAGATCCTGACGAACATTCGTGGAGGAGTGGATGAAGCTGAGGTAAACATGTTCAGTATGATGCTGATACTACCTCTACTATTCGATTCAAATCTCATAACGGGAGTTCGGTTTTGAGATGTTCATGATTTCACGTGATGACGCGGACGCACAACTTTGTGTTAGAAATTCCAACTTGTAATGTCTCATAATTAGGTTCACGCGCGTAATGAAAGTTTTATTCGATTGATTGAAACTAGATTCCTAGTCTTGAAGTGAGACAGTAATGCGCAGTAGTGATACAATGGTGAATCTGAACTCGCGCCCAGGAGCGGCGGGCTTGGATCTTTGTATTAAACTGATATGTTTGGTTGCACACTCTGCGTATGTGTTTGGAGTGTTTTTGGTCCTTCACACGCGCTACCGGTATTGCATTGTCGAGGAACAGCGTGCATGTAATGTAAAGGTCGTGCGGACGTAGATGCCTGGGGATGTTTACCACTCACGCGAACGATCACGGCAGTCGAACAGAAGACCCATCCTGCTAAGTAACGAATTCTGTTCCGAGACTCTTTTAAGCCTCAAAATCCCGGGAAGGAGTTGGACTTCCTCCATGGACTTCTTCGCTCACGTGGACTCCTGCAGTCCACGTGGGCACAACTGCTCAGGCTCCGCACAACGCATCCGCTGCATCGTGTCTTTGCATACTGAGTTAGACTACTGAATCGATACATGAGCAACCTATACCCGGTTTTGGAGCGTGTATAGTGTCGCAGATTTTTCCACAACAGCTTGGCCTCTCCTCCTGATCAAGAAGCCCTGAGCTCAGAGCAGTGAGCTGTAGTATAAAACCAACACTCGGTCACCGTGCCCGACACTCCACGAGCGCTTGGGGAGGGCGGTCACAGCCTGCTGGCGAAAATGTACGAGTAAAAATGTAGTTTTCTTGCGCCGACACCATGATATAAGCAACAACAACTCTCGTGATCGGTAGCAGTAGAGGCAGGCGAAGACAGATTATCTCCATATCTATCACCAACTACCATCGGGCAATACCCGCCGGGTAATTGTCGATTGGCCCATTGGTGATTGGTATTAGTAGACATCACTAGGTTCTCGTTGGCCTTCCTCGCATCGTAGAAAATCCGTCATTTGGTTGCTCGTGAGGATCTCTAGATGATAAACCGTGCTGATAGACGAACGAGTAACTCACCATCTGCGGGTTTCTAGTTGGACGCTGGATCCTAGGATCGTTGAACGATCATCGTTCCCTCAACCGCCTCACCCTCAGAATATGGTCGACGTTACGTCGACGACCTACACAAGACGCAGTAGGTGGGCGCCGCCCACTGGGCGGGTCGAACCTTTCATTGACATGGATAATCTATGTCACACATTTGAGTGCTCAAAGTCAAGCTCAGTTGTAACACCATCATTCTTGCTCGCTCACTTGTCAAACCTGCACGGGAAAAGGTGTAGAAGTATATGCTTCTGCCAACGAAAAGTCCATACTCTGGCATAATATGCCAGAGTATGGACTTTTCGAGTCTGTATGATGCTTGGGGTCAAGACACTGTGACAAATGCTTGTGTGCCGTGGTCGTACACAGCCCCCGCAGTTGTGGACGCGGATCCTGCCGAAGGGGAATGGAGTACATTGACAGAGGTTACAGGATGAAAGTAGACAATTCAAAAAGCTAGAACTGATCTCTCGGGAGCTAATTTGCATCGATGCGAGTCCAACTAAGCCGTGTTGTCGCCGACAACTTGTCGGCGTTAGACTTCAAAAATAACATACTTATCATTTATAGAAATTCGCGCGAGCGCGAAATAATTCGTTCTTCGCACCCAAATCGAGTGACCCGATAATTCAGCAGGCAAACACTCCGGAAAGACTGAGTCATGAAGAGTCGTTGAGACTTATCACAACAGGTATTGATTTCCTCCCGTGTCATGCGCAAAGGCATGCGGTCTACTACTTATTTGGATTATTTGGAATGACAGTGACCTGCTTCGAACGACACAGATTTCCAGCATCCGGATTCGCAACAGTTCGAACAACATTCATGCAGATTCCCGAAATAATTCCGTCACTTCATCATGGCAGGATGAAGATTGCACTGGGAGTCCCAGTCTGGATCACGCTACGCGATCGCGATGGCCATACCACTCGTTGAACAAATCACATGAGATGCACGATCTGATCCGATGAATCCTCAAAGCTAGAGATGGGATACAGAATCTGTATTACAGATAGCTAGGTCCTAGCTGCTAGGAGGACACTACTATATGTTTATTCCGTTGAATACACCAATGAAGATAGATCGAGCGAATAACACCACAAAAATGCTCATTAATAAAAGCTGACCAGAGCGAAACTATCGCTGAATTAGAGGGATTCATAAAGTGAAGAATGCTGACGAGGTCCTGCGTGTTGCTCAAGTGACAACGTCTAGGAAACGCAGATGTCACGTAAGTTCGTGAAGTGTGCTTGTTGCAAGTGGTGCAAGTGTTGCCTTCGCCGGCCCGCTCTCGGAGTGGCTGTATGCCACACAGTGTGTGGTTAGAACTCCATCACTTACTCACCGTGAAGTGACCCTGATGAGCTGAAAGCTGATTCATGTGTTGGTTAAGTTCACCGTGAACTGTTCACGGGCCACTTGTAAAAGGATACCATGTCGTAGAACACGTTGTCTCCGGTGATGATGTCTAAGCACACTCATGCGTGACCGCCTCGTGAGCACGGCTCACTGAGCCGCCAGACGGATGAGAAGTAGATCGGCAAAGCAGATGTTTTCCGAGTCTCAGAGAAGAGTTGCTTCTGTGTGGGGCTTACGGTATGGGCTGAAGATTTGAAGATCTATTAGATCCGACCTAACTGAAAATGGATCTTAGGAGCAGAGGTTCGATCAATCTCAGGACTCGATCTCTCGCTGTCCGGACATTCCATCGGACCGATGTAATGCATTTGCACCATCTAGATCAGCAAAGAATCCTTATGACACCAAGCTCGTCCCCATTCACCCTCAAATGTATAGGTAATGAACTTTTCTCTACTCCCTCTGATCAACAAGAATCGTAACTGTTGGGTTATTAGTACACATCTCATTTGTTCATTTCTTTCTCCCAACTCTCTGCCTTGTCGAGAGAGTCAAGTGATGGTATATTGTATGCCGTATATTTACTATTTAAATACATGACATGGTTGTCTCACGATCAGTTTTGGACCCACAGGCTGTGCGGCTCACAGCCCATATGCTCTTATCAATAATCCGCACTTCCTTGATATGCCATCACACTTCCCCAATATACCATCAGGTCTCCTCACTGAGCGAAACGCAACAGGGTTGCTTGATTGATAGCCTAACAGCTCCAAGGTCAAGATGGTTGAGGCTTTTGATACAACGAGTCTACAATATAGCTGCGAGCAACTCTTGGCTCGTAGCATGAGTTTTGGACTCATGTTCGATCAACCTCCATCTGGAGCGATCCTACGACATAGGAAAGTAGTACGGAGTGTCTCGAAATAATCTTGACATAATAAAAAGACTCATGGCGACTCGAAGACTCCACTCATCTCGCACCGATGAAAAAAACAGCATAGAAATAACGAGGTATAAATGGTCGGGTGTCCGGATATCAAGATAACTCCACTCATCTCGCACCGATGAAAAAAACAGCATAGAAATAACGAGGTATAAATGGTTGGGTGTCCGGATATCAAGATAACGCACTAACGAAATATTAGCTCGCTCCAGAATGTGCTGAATATGGAATCTGAAGCACCTATGGCGGACCGAGACGAACCATCCCCAAAACCTCGTTAAAAGAAGCTGAGCGGAGCTTACTGTGGCAGGACGATCTTGTCATTAATGAATGTCACCGGGATGTTGAGCTTGATGAGTGGAATATTGACGAAGGCCATCCCTGTACCCTTAAGGATCCATACGCTGTCATTGTTCTTGTAAGTGTCCAAGGTCAAATGGAGGGAAGCACCAGCGGTACCAAGCTTAATCTTATTGGTAGTCCCTGTTGACACGTTGAAGCCCATAGTCCCAGGCTTTGTGGCGTAGACGTAGCTAGCTTGATTGCCGGTATGTTCCACGTTAATAACTTGGTAACCGAGAACATAGATTTTAAAACGAGGATCAACCTTGACCTTGGTCTGTAGACGACCGAGTAGACCGGGCTTGGAGGAGGCTTGCATATCGTAGGTCGCCAAGGATATGGCCGCGCCAAGCTTGTTTCTGTTACCAAAAGCTACCACCTCTGCTTCACCGCCAGCGTGGAGGTCCAGATATGTCGCTCTCTTCGCATCGAAAGTGGCCGTCATGCCCAAAGCGACATTGTCCTGTGGGTCTTTAAGATCAAAGACATCAACAATGGCTGTCACCTCCTTCCCTTTACGAGTTGTATTGCGCTTGCCATGGAAGCAGAAGTACTTGCCTTCCGGGCGAATGTCCGGTGAACAACCCGGGGGATATGAAAAGCTACCGTCAGCCGAAACTGCTGCTAGCAGGGAGGTTGCAGAGGATGAGGCAATAAACTCTTCATTTTGCTTGATAAGATCGGCCTCGTACTCCTTCAGTAGGTTGATGGCCTCTGGCGTGAGCTCCAAGTCGTCGAAGCTACCCATAAGAGGCTTCTCATCACCACTTGGACGGTCGACCACGATGCCTTCAGCAAGTGAGGTGAGGGCTATCGTAGCTACAGAAATCCTGACGAACATTTGTGAGGGACTGGATGAGTCTAAGCTAAATAACTTCACTCTCTGCTGTTCGATTCTAATATCATTACCTGAGTTCAGTTCTGAGATGCCCACGATTTCACGTGATGACGGGGACGCAGAACGTGCGATGAGATGTCTCAGGGTTAGTTTCACGCGAGATAAAAAGTCGACTCGATCACTTGAAACTATGTTGTAGTCCTGTGAGTGACATAACAATGCCAAGTAGTGAAATATTTAGTAGTGGATCTGAATCCATGCCCTGGAATGGTGAGCTTTAGATCTTTGTGTTAATCTGGTATGTTTGGTAGTCACACGCAGCATGTGACACCGTTGCGTATGTGACACCAATATCTGGACTTGCGTGAGAATAGTGTGACGCTGTCGCATGTGTCTGGAACGTCCTTGTCATGAACGTGCGAATCACACCGCGTGATGCACACGGCGTGTGACACACGCGTGATCAGCGTGTGTTTTGTCATGTGCAGGTGCTTTAACATTGTCTGAGCACAGCATGCATGTAATGTGAAAGCCCTGTGGACCAAAGCCGGACTATTCCAATCCAGCCTTCGTGCGCAGGGCCAGTTCGGCTAGACTGGTTTGGGTTCCTGGCTCCTATGGTTTTGAATAAGCAGTACCTGCCGCTACTACTGACTCTCAATATCCTGAAGGCTTCGATGTGCTTTATAATGTGGGTTTTTCTACAATGAAGGGTGAATATGCGAGGAGAACTATAGAGAATACGTATTAAAGCAAAATATACTATTCGTTCGAACCTCCTGCCATCCCCATCGGACAGGTTAGGAATTCTCAAAGGAAACACAGGAGGGGGAAACCAGAATATCCTCCGAATCGAAAGCGGTTCAAATTTCAAACTTCGAAATATTCCCGGTTCCGGGTAGACTGAGTCTATTAGACTCCGATGAATAAACAAGTACGAAGTGAGCGAAATGCTATCAAAGTTCGAGTGACCCCTAGACAACGTACCAAGAGGGGCATCTCGACCCTAAGGCGACCGTGACACCAGTAGCGACGGTCACTAAGCGACCAGAGCGTGCGAAACGTGAAGACAAATGTATTGAATGAGGTTCCCCGCTCAGAGGATCAAAGAACTACAGCATTTCCCGGTCATGTAACATGACCGGGCATCGATTCGGGTTTTCGGGTTTAAATAAATCAAGTTTTGAGGCGACAAGACAATGATCCCATCGAGAAACCGAGATAGAAGAACTCACCAGCAAATGCACAGTTCATCTGACCAACAGGATTACCCCGGGGAGCCTCCAGAGGAAACTGCTGGATAGTCATTGGCTCCTTCTTCTGACTAACTCGACCGATGAACTGCGCTAGGATGAGACCAGCATCAAGCATCATAAACAACTAGATGATTACGATGTTTTTAATGAAAAAAACGGCAAAACATTGAGCACCTGGTGCTCGGTCCATCGGTGACCGATGAACTGGGAAACATACATGACATCACAGAGCTGCGCCAGAAGACTCTGGTCTATTTGATTTTTTTATTTTGCGCCATCTGCTCAAGACTATTTCCGGTACCCTAACTCTGATAGCATTGGGACCGATGACCTTCTGCATATTGTTGGCCTCTTCGATTGTCAACCACCCTTGAGCAAAGCGTGAGCTTCATCAGGGGTCTTCTCAGCAGTGCCAACCGGACGGAACTGACCGTCCTCCTCATCGTACAGATAGCGTACACAGGTGTGTTCGAACCCACGATGTTTGATCTGCTTGTCAACCATAGCAGGTACCAGAGTAGTGCACGAAGCCTTTTCATACTTGCTCTTAATGTCATTCTAACCATCGACAAATTAATGCCTCAACACACCCGGGAGAACTCTATCGTCAGTCATATCAGGGTAAACCATATCGTTTTCGTCGATGGCGTCCATTTCGTCCTCAAGAAGAACTTGAGGAGCTTCTCTCATCCTGACTTCGGGCAACACAATATTACGGGGAAGAACGTGATCATTATTGTAGCCAATACATGGAAGAGAACGAATATATAAAGGTATGATACCATTCCAACCCCCCAGATAGTACAAACATCAGAGAAATACGATATGAACGAGAAAAACACCATGCTTAGTAAGCATTGCTTACCGTTTGTCACTAGCGACTTCCAGATCGATTGCAGAGCGGGTTGGGGCTCCCAACTTGAAAGGTATCACAGTCATTCTAAGTCCCTTCAGATTGAGAGGTAAGTTGCTAGACATACCGTGGGAATGCGACATCAGCTTATTAGCCACTGTTTCCACAGTGATCCCGGCCGTTTCAGACTCAAAGCGCGCTGTTCTTGCAAGTTGCATGAAGCTAGCAGAATCTGCCCCGGCCGAGGATCGAACCTGTGCCTCATCTTTGGATGAATATTTCTCTCTTGCCACTACGTGACTTAGACTTGTAATGAGTGGAGTAGCAAAAGCGGGCTGCAGGCCCGCGTACTCACGCATGTATACGCAATTTTCGGGTGGGCGCAAGTTGGGACCCAAGGCTCGTCACGCGCCACAAAATTAAGCGCGCGCCCAAACGCGTTGAATGCGTTGTACGGACGGTAGTCGCTATAAATGAGGGGTGCCAACGAGTTTAGTATCGATCCGGCGCGGTATAGAGAGCTAGACACCACTGGCATTCATAGCGGGCCGAAGGCCCGCGACTCTCCTCGCACAGCCCTCCGTACAAGCTTTGTCGAGAGTCGGACCACTTTTTGTCGACTGTCGGACCGGTAAGCTTCTAGCACGGCTCACCGCCCGAAACGCTGAGCTCAATCCTGCGCACGCCCGCTTAATCGATAATCTTGAAGAAAGCATAGTATGGCAAGTCCGGTAAGCTACGCATTGGTTTCCAAGTCTGCATTTGATGAACTCTGCTGTAGAGCTTCACTGACCCCCTACTAGCCTTTCTCGCTTCCCTTCCGGCAGTGTCGTCTTTTGCGTCCAGTCTCTCCTCTATCAGCGGACTGTACTCCCCCAAACGAGTAGCCAACACTCTTGCACTCATACACCCACTTACTCATCCCTTATTCTATTGGCAATGAACACACATCAAGTTTGCTCTACCTTGCCCTTAAACCAGGGTTTTACCTTCCCGAGCGCTATTATTTCTTTCCAATTCTTTCTTGCTGGAAAGAAAGGAAAGAAACAATGTTCGGTTTCTTCCTGGCATCATTGTGCAATAATTGCAAAAATTGCACTGCAATTTTGCGGAAAGAAATGCAACAAAACTTGCGGAAAGAATTGCACTGCAATGCGATGGTCTAGTGGTAAACTTCACTGTTATCAATCAGATGGCCGGGGGTTCTACCCCAGAAAGTATTAATTCTATGCAATAAATGTGTTGTCGCTACCAAATTGGCTGCGAGTGTCTGATACCACAAGAATCACAGAGTTGCTACTGGGGCTTGTGCGATGCTCGCATTCAAGTTGATAATCAACACAATTCCAGCATGGATTGTCAGCTTCGATAAGAAACTTATGTTCGAGCCCTGGGCGGCCTGCTGCCCGTCACTGTGTACCATAATGTGGCGGTATGCCGCTACGACGTCGCCGCAGGTCATGAGCACGCAGGACTTCCTCCCCAGTGACTGTGAATCAAATAATGAGACTAATTAAATTTTCTCGAATCAAGCTGCCAGCGCACCACACCACGGCGAAGGAACCCGTTGGTATCCGGCCTGTAAAAGAAGTAGCGTGCGATCCTCGTACAGGCGGCCTGTAACAGGTCGCTTCAGGCACATACTGTGTGCCTTACAGTAACTCACATGCTTCTCGGTATTTTGTCAAAGAGCGCAGCAGCTGCCGAGGTGCTCGCCGGCACAGTGCAGAGGATGGACATGAACGTGGCGAGCGTGCTCACATCTCGATGCAGGAGGCAGAACTCGTCAGGGTCCATGCTCCGTAGGACCTCCACGTCTATGTTGGCGTAATCACCTACGACAGAAGTTTGGAAAGCAAAAGAACCTACTGTAGGTTACCTACAGATAGCATACGAATGAAAATAACGAGTCTCTATTAGGGAGAGTAATACATGGAATCCGGGTCGTGGAGAGCATTCAAGAACTCAATTTGAACGTGGATTACTACCCTCACGGAAGAAGAATTGAACAGCGTCTTTCCCCGTTTGCTTCAAATTCCTGATGGCTTCCAAGGAACAGTCCTTAGCTTCCTTAGAGAAGATGTTCAAACTCTCTCTCTGCCACTTTGGATCAGTCTGGAATGAGCGCGGGTCGAATCTCGATATCCACAGAAGATCAGCTGCCGCATAAGATAACCTGAGGTTGTCAAGTCATCCCGGGGCTCCACTAAGTTACTTCAGCATACGAACAATCACCTATTCGAGATAGTAGTCTTAGTTTCCTGGTTCATGTTGCGCGTGCCGCCTATCTCATTCACAGCTTTGTTGATCTCAATCACTGCTTCGAAGATGGACAGGTCATTTTCATCAACTTTATTGCGAAGATCGATCAAGGAAGATAGGACCGATGCCAAGGCTGTAGCCTCACAGCGCTTCGTGCCACTATGGAGAACCTCCAGGAGACTTGTATGGGCTTGCCTCGCCTCCGCGTCCAACCTGAGGAAGACGTAGGTCCAATGATGAGAGACCTATGAGACACAGGGCCGGTGTGGTATTTCATCAGCTGCTGTTCGAAAATGTACTCTCACTTCTCCCAGCAATCCTCTTTAGTATTCGCGGCGAAAGCGTCCTGTATGTCAGTCCAGGAACGTACAAGTTGCATGATGAGTTTCGCTTGTACCAGCGAGGTGTCACAACCCGCAGGATCCATCAGATGACCTTTATCACAAGCTGTCAAGTACCCTCGGAGGCTCTGGCAGAGATCGGTCCAGAAGCTCAGGTCGCCGTCGTCGTGGGCAGTCAGCTTCTGGAATAGGGTTTGCAACCCCTTGGAGAAGCAGTCCACCTCAATATGCAACCTTGGCTTCCCCTCGTCCGAGTAACGACTATCCAGACGGTTCAGCAGCTCTTCTCTTATGCCGCGCAACAGAGGAAGATCCTTGCACACTACAGCTGTAATATGAATGTCAGCTGAAGAAAAACACCTGTTCAGGAATGATAGATTTAAGTCTAATGAGGCTACACTCTATTCCTCTCGAGAATCTCTAATCGATCAATATATGCCAACATCGAAGCAAGCGATACAATTACCCAGGTTTGAGGCCTACCTTCTTGGAGCTCCATCACGCAGACGGCCTCAGTAAATCCAGCTATCTCTTCGATAACTACCTCCTCATCACTCGCCACCTTGACCGCCTTGTTTGAGGCGAAGCCTCGCAGAGGTACAGTATAGAAGGAGTAACCTTTGCTCCCAGAGGATTGATAGGTGCTCGCACATACGGTGACCACGATGTCACTATTAAGCTCGTGATAATCCAAGATGAGGGACACCTTGCCGTTCAGACTTGACGCCTTCTTCAGTTTTGCCACATCCATACGCACGCCTTCTTCCTCGACGGTAAGCTCTAGACTCCTCAGGTGATCTATGGACCACTCGTATGCTATGCCAGGGAGGTGAGCATCCAGGGCATGATTGAACCAGGATGAGTTGTTGGACAGGACTTGGCAGTCGATACCACACGCGACGAAGAAGCTCACTATGCGTTTCTCGAATGCTGACTTAGCAGCCTTCTCACTCTGCAGAACTGGCACGAAGAGATTCTTAAATGAGGAACGAAGATCGTTCGACGACACAGCAGAGGGCGCCTGAGCGGCCCGGCCTCTCTTCTTCGCGGACTGCGTCCTAGAAGACGATCTCTTTTTTTGACAGATTGCGTCCTAAATGGCGAGCTTGTCCTCTTAGCAGAGCGTGTGTTAAATGGCGAGCTTGTCCTCTTCGCAGAGCGCGTCTCAGATGGCGAGCTTGTCCTCTTCGCAGAGCGCGTCTTAGATGGCGAGCTTGTCTTCTTCGCAGAGCGCGTCTTAGAGGGAGGGGTCTCGAAGCGAGAGGATGAGCTCCTCCTTGCAGGAGTTACGCTCTTCTTGGGACCGCCAGCTAATTTGGTACAGCGCTTCCTCTTAACCATAGGAGAACGTTTTCTTGTAGCCGTCGGAGGATAGCGGGCTAGTGCCTTGCTTCGCCAGGGCTCCGGGAGCTCGGGACCATGGTGCTTCATCAAGTGGGTGCGTAGCTTTGTAGGGTTTCGGTCCACATAAGGATAGTTACAGAATGTGCAGACCCATCTCTTGTCGTCTCCAAGTCCAACAGGTTTGACAAACTTATCAGGGTCGATCTCGCCTGGAGGCGGTCGTCTGCCAGGAGGCATGATTGCCGCAAAAGATAGAACAGGATAACTGAGACGATCAGAGATGTATCCTTGCTGAGAGCTCCAATGCCATCGTAGCGCTTATTATCCACGTTCCCCGGAGAGCGACGAGAATAATTTATCATACTATCAGCAAAATAAGACCCCGTTATAAGGTTTTGTTGAGAATCTATAAATTCGACAATTGGCCATGGATAGTTGAATGAGCTATTCGCGAAGTGAGAGAAGAGTGACTCTCCCGACCAGTGCCTCCTCGAACTTATACCTCTCTCTCAAAATCAGCTACTGTCAGTCGTCACAACAACCTCCTCGTCGTCGATCATTCGTCTCAAGTCCTTCAAGCTGAAGCTTTCGGAATTCCCGCTCTGAGCTTGCCCTCCTCGAACCAGACAATACCGACGCTTAGAGGCTCTCTGAAGCCTTCCACCATCTCCGGCTAGGACTTCTATGCGACCAGTTAGACAATGCGACTTCACGCACGAGAGAGGAGAGAAGATCAGAGGGGGTAGAGAGTTTGGACACGGGCGGTGCACGGTGCACCGTGCACCATGGTTGGTGACACCAACTTGGTGCCTGTCGCAGACACAGAGGTTCTACTTCCGACTCTACTATCCGACTCTTGATTCTCAACACTACTACCGGACATTTGGTAGAAAGATCTATAAGTGATTTCCAAGTCAGTCACGGATAAACATAGCTATAAAAAGCTATGAGCACAGCCAACGGAGACAGTCTATTATTAGTGATATCGATTACTAGGGCGAGCGCAGATAACGCCTGAAAATAAGGTCATGGCGACTTACAGCGGGTTATCGTTTGCAAGCCCAAGGCAAATCTGTTTAGTGACATTAGGTAGACGAACATAAATGACTCAATTAAAAGGCAATTTATGCTCATTTAAAATGAGCAAGTCTTTCGTAACGGATATATCCGTTTCTTCATCACAGGTCACTGCCAGTACAGGACTCGAATCGCATAGTTTCTTGACAGCCTCAGCTTGGGAGGTCTGGAATGAGCGCGTAACGACGAACGGGTACATAGGAGGGAGTCAACTTTCGGGCACCGAAACACCATGGCGGCCCATGAGCTTTAGGAGACCGGGAACCTTTCTCATTGCAATGTATTCCTTGGCGGCGAAGTCAACACTGTTGACTCAACAGCGTCGAAGTACGGCAGCATCAGGGTATTCTGCTTCTCCTCACGCTTACGTCGTTTCTCCTCCAACTTGACTCTGCTCTTCTCAAGGCTCGCA